TGCTTTTCTTTTTTCTTTTCTTTTCTTTTCTTTTCTTTTCTTTTCTTAAAGAGAAGGAAATGTAATTTCTTGAAAGAACAACAAGGCTTATCACAATGCAACAAATACATTCAGCTGAGATTGTTTCTGGGACAGGCAGATTGCCCATAATGAAACATTTTGCTGTGTGAAAGTGCATGGAAGGGAATTGTTGGCTCCCATAAAAAAGCAGCTGGTGTACATCAAAAGAAAATTGCTCAGGCTCAAAGGCAGAGGCTGATGTGAACTGATTGCTAAGATGAGCATGTTTGCATTTACAGAATATAGATCATGAAGAATTAATTGTCCTCAAAGTAGTTACAGTTTGCAAAATTCCTCCCAGTTGCCCATGCTGGGGGATGACAAAATCGTTTGGTGACTTGAGTTAACTAGCTGTGGATCTCTGGGTTCAAGCTAAGTGCAGTTATCTGGGCAGAGAGATGCAATCAGTTTGAATGGCTGACTCCCTCACCTTCACTTGCTGTTGTATTTATGCAAAAGACCACCCAAGGGCAATCTGGCAGATTTTTCTGGATCACTGACCTGATTCTGGTGATCCTCCAAACAATAAGGTAGAAGATTGGCAATGAACCTTATGGGTTTGCTACCTCTTGAACACTCACATCTCTTGTGTGGTTTCCCCTCCAGTTTCCCCTTGGTCAAATCCAGTACCATCATTTGCCATGATGTGCAAACTGGCAATCTTAGTTCCATCCACCGTATCAACCAAAAGATGGTTTGGAGATTTAGTCACTAGGCTGAACTGACATTTACTGTATGGTGAAAATGGAGAGGAAAAGAAGTGGAAGCATGGAACTAATTTCTTATTTTCAAGTAATGGTTTGGAGGATTGCCTCTGTACAACAATTTTTAATAGGAGGGAGGAATCTCCAGATGATGTTGAACTGCTCCATCTCATCAGTGCCACAGAAAGTGTGGCTGGTGGTTAAGAATGATAGATATTGTAATCTGGCAACATCTAGAAGATTACAGGTTACATTTTTGTGTCCTAGCACACCATCAGCTCTATCCTGGTCAAGTTAAGCCCACTGCATGTTTTCAACACTTCCTTCTTTCCAGTTTGGAATCTTCAAAAATATTATGTAAAATCACAAAAGCTCAGCTAGTATCTTGGGTTGGCATATTTGTTGCTTTTTAGCTTTAATCCAGTTGATGACATTTTTATAACCTTATCCCTTGCCCATTCAATAAATCCTGTTAAAGAAGAATCTATGGGAATCTTGCTTTCAGCAGAGTTGGCTACCAAGGACCTGACAGTCCCCTTGATGTTCCTGTCTCCAGCTCAGGAGTGAGGCAAGCTTAAGTTCACTTTAACTAGATCAGTATTACATTAGTATCTTTCTCTTTATTCTGACAGCATGCGGGGACAGCTGCAAGATTTATTTTATTTATTTTACTTTATTTATTAAACTTGTCCCCACCCATCTCCCCCCAATGGGGGACTGGGCGGCTTTCAACATATTAAAACAATAAATAAATATACAGTTAAAATTTATAAGAGGACACATTTACAAAAAATAAAGGGAAAAAGAAAAATCCAGGAGGCCGATGGAAGCAACACCAGGCCTCTAGGGGCCTAGCCAACCCCATATCTGATGACCTCCCTCCCCACCCCAGGCCAGATGGCAGAGCCAGGTCTTCAAGCCCCTCCGAAAGGCCGGGAGTGAGGGGGCCTGTCTCACCTCCGGGGGCAAGATGTGCCAAAGGGCGGAGCTACCGCAGAGAAGGCCCGCCTTCTGGACCCAGCTAGTCGGAGTTCTTTTGCCGAGGGGGTCCGGAGCATGCCTTCTCTGTGTGATCG